GGAGGCTGCGGTGAGCCGAGATCGCGCCATTGCACTCCAGCCTGGGTAACGAGAGCGAAACTCCATCTCAAAAAAAAATAAAATAAAATAAAATTAAAAAAAAAAAGAACCTTAAATAACCCTCTGCTCGAGTCTGGCAAAGACCTGTAGAAATAATGGAATATTATTACTGCAGTTATGTTATATGACAAAATATAAGTCTGCAGATGTAGTTAAGTCCTTAATCAGTTGAGTTCACCAAAAAGGAGACTATCTGGGTGGGCCTTATCTGGTGACCTTTTTAAAAGAGACCTTAAAGGGGAATCAGAGATCAGACACAGAAGAAATCAAGGAGACTGATTACTGCTAGCCTGGATAAATGCTAACAGTCATGTTGTGAACTGTCTATGTGGCCACATGGCAAGGAACTGAAAGCAGTCCTTGGCCAACAGCTAACAAGAAGGTAGGGACTTCAGTCATACTACTGCAAGGAAATTAACTGTGCCAACAAGTAGTGACCTTGAAAGACAACTCTGGCCAGGCACAGAGGCTCACACCTGTAATCCCAGCACTCTGGGAGGCCGACGGGGACGGATCACGAGGTCAAGAGATTGAGACCATCCTGGCCAAAATGGTGAAACTCTGTCTCTACCAAAAATGCAAAAATTAGCTGGGTGTGGTGGTGTACACCTGTAGTCCCAGCTACTCGGGAAGGTGAGGCAGGAGAACTGCTCGAACCCGTGAGGCGGAGGTTGCAGTGAAACCCCCCCCTCTAAAAAAAGACAACTCTGAGGCTCAGAAATGAACTGCAGCCACAGCTGACACCCTGATTTTAGCCTGTGAGATGCTCAGCTATGCCTTCCTAAACTTCTGACCTATGGAAGCTGAAATAATTGTTAAGCTGCTAAGGGTATGATTTGTTACGAATTAAAAAAAAAAAGCCTAATACATCCTCCTAAGGATATAAAGATACAGGACAAAGCAACGAGTAAAAGGGGAAACAAGAATGATGTATCTTTCCCCAAAATATATTATTTCTTCTTACACCACTGAGATTATGAAGACATATAGAGCACCAGAATCGAGGGAAAAAAAGTTTAAAACTATATAAAATTCTATAAATTTTAAGTTATAGCAACTAAAAGGGTTTTTCACACACATCTTGTTACACAACCACCATATTACCCCATTTTATTTTCTTTTTTAAAGAAATGGAGTCTTGTATGTTGCCCAGGCAGGTATCAAACTCCTGGGTTTAAGAGTTCCTCCTGCCTCGGCCTACAGAGTAGCTGGAACTACAGGAGTGCACCACTGGGCCCAGCTCCCCATTTTAGAGATGAAGAAAGTAAGGCTCATAGGGGTAACATCCTGAACACCACAAACCCAGGGGATGTTCAAAGTAACTTCAGTCCAGGGTGCACTCACTCTCCCCTGAACCATAGTGCCCTTAAGGCTTTAAAAAGAGCCAATCAAATCTACAGTCATTCTATTACTGTCTTCAAAGGAGGCAATCCTAGTAACACAACAAATTTCCATATTTTGCATCTATTTAAATATCCCAACACCGAAACTGAAGTGGATACAGAAAAATTTCCACTCAAAAGTAGTTCCTGAAAATGACCATTAGCAGGCCACTTGAATTTAATTTACTCAAAGTACATTTTAAACAGTTAAAGGAAAAAAACGTGGCAAAACACCTGCAGATCTACAACTTTAGGTAACAATTTGTCTTATAAGTATTCTTAATCATCAAAAGCAAGGAAATAACATTTCTGCTAAGTATTCCTAATCACCAAAAGCAAGAAAATAACATTTCTGCTTCTTTCTATTCCCTATTCCCCTGCTTAAACTTTTTAGCCTGAATTCTTCATACATTATGAATATAAGAACAACGTACATTATACTACCATACAATAAACAAGTCGTTTTTATTTTCACTGTTCTGTATATTTCCCTAAGTGCTTCACCATGAGAATGTGCAATTTTCTTAAAACACGAGGAAAACTAAAATGTAGAGTCACAGTCAAATTCCACATAAGTTACAAATCACAACTTTGTGCCAATTCAGATATTTTCTCGTGTAAACGCTATTTTTGCTAAGATGCAAAATACAGTCCTTCTAGTCAGAACCACGAGAAAGAATAAACTCTATCCATCTTAACACCAACTTTAACAGCAAATAATTCTTTATCACAAATTGCAGTTTTTTGTCTTGTCCAAAACCATCCCAAGACTTATACGCCCGGGGCACGATTCCCTGCAATGTGAAGAGAATCGGTAACATTTCAAATGTGGGTAGATGGGAGTGACCTGACGGTCCTAAAACCTGAAAATTTTTTAGTACCCATACCATACAAGAAGCACCCAGTCCGGACCCTGCAAACGAGGCTCAGGTCCAACTCCAAGCATTTCAGTTTCCTACCCCGCCCCCACCTCGAGAAAGGAGGGAAAACAACTTTTATTGGCCTCTTTCCTCAGGGGACTGGCAAACTAGCGGGGCAGTGCTTGGGCCTGGACACGTTTCATAAGGAGGCCCCCGTCGCGGACTCAGAGAGCGGACAGCTGGAAAGCCCGGCATGACGCCCCATCTCCCCCAGCCGCCACCCCGGCCCCACCCCGCCAACAAGAAGCCTGGGCCAGCCACCCCGCCGAGCGACCCCCCAGGCCCCAGCGCTGAGGCGAGCTCGTTGTCATGTGACGCCGCCGCCGCCGCTAAAACACCGCAGAAACGCAGGTCGGCGGGCGGCGGAAGGCATTCGCGCTAGCCCGCCTCGGCCCGGCCCCGCTGGGCGCGGGCGAGTCCCGAGAGCCCGGGCGGGGGGGCGGAGGGCGGGCTTGGCGGCGGGCCCGAGCGCGCCACAAAGGCTTCCGCGCCTGTCGCCGTAGTGCCCAGGCGGGCGGGGGCAAAATTTTCGGGGCCCGCGAGAGGGGTGGCGAGCGACGAAGGCGCCAGGGTGCCCGCCGCGCCCACAGCTGCTTCTCCGGGCACTCGGACGGCCCACGACCGCCGGGCCCCGCACAGGCCCGCGCGGCCTCCCTCCCCCGCGCAGGGCCCGCGCCCGGCCCGCCCGCTCCCCGCTCGCGCTCTCTCGCTCTCGCCCGGCCTCCATCTTGGATCGGCGCTTCCAGCCCCCGCGCCGCTGCCGCCGCATTCCCCCTCTTTCCCGCCCCCCGCCGCCGTCGCCGCCGCCCGCACTCACCTCAGCTGCCCATCCGGGCGCCACCGGCCGTCGACCTAGTTTCCCCCCAAAAGTCTCCGGTGTGTTATTCCCGATGTGGGGGGGTTGTTACGGGGTGGTCGCCGGGGGTTCGGGAGCGGGGGCCGCGCCTTCAACGGAGCTGCAATCCTAACCCGCCATCTGGTGGCATTTTCCACACGCCAATGGCGCCGCTGCAGACTTGGGTCCGGACCGCCCTCTGCTGGCCGCGGTGCTCACTGCCTTGCTGACGGGACGGGCCTGCCCGGAAAGGGGAGGGAGCTGAGGCGCGAGCTAGGGGCCGCGGTAGGGGCGCGCGCAAACGCTTTCCTGTGGGGATTGCGCGCACGCGCACCAGCGGGGCGGGAAACGTGGCCTCTGCGTGGCGGCCCCGCCCCCACACGGAGTGCTCGCGCAGCTCAGCCAATCGCGAGCTGTGTAGATTTCTGGGTAAGGGCGCTATGGAAGGTTCTTGGGCCGCCGGAGGCAGGCGGAAGGATGGCCACGGTGGCGCCTGCGCGTCCGGCTCGCCGGGTTGCCGCCCGCCATTTTTGGAGCTTCTTGGAAACCTAGAAAGGAACCCAACCCGGGTTCCTTCACCGAGGCTCCTCCCTAGTTCTCAGGGCCGGCGCTTTCCTCTTCCCCCGCCCGGCTGCTGCTGCCCCCATCCGCCGCTCTCGAGACGCGCTGCGGACACCCGAGGGCGAGGCCACGGCAGATCCCTGCTCCCACTTTACTTGAATTTAGCGAGGGCCTCACAGCTTAGCATTGTATTAGCGATTTACAGTTGACAAGCCCTTTCACTAGGCGAGAGTGAAAAGGTTTCAAAGGAAATGTTGGGGACTTCCCTCGCCATTAATCTTGACGAAACCCTGCCCGCCCCAGGCCGAGTGGCGTCACCCTGCCTCTGTAAAGCACATCCTTTCCGTGGTGCCGGCTTTGCGTAAGGCGGCAGCATTGGCTAGTTTGTGAAAAGAGAATATAACTAGACTGAGAAAATAGACTCAGCTGTGAAGTTGGATTTTTCCTTCCACAACCTAGGACTACTTTCAGTAGCTCCGAAATAGACATGAGAATCTTAGCCTTCTAGATACCAAAAGAGAAATAATCACTAAGGTGAAATCATGAACAAACTTTTATATTGAATGTCACCTCTTCCCTGATCACCACTTGCCCCTCCGTGGCTATGGCTCCTACCTTTCACCTGCTTACAAGTTTTCACTACAAAAGTGAATCCTTTCTCTCTTGGATCATTACCCCATGTATGACTAACTTCTCTATTGCTATAGCCAGCTCTATTTCAGTATAGAGTCGCTCAACTGTAGACTTCAGGGCCATTCTGCAGTAGGTTACTCCTATTTGTAGTTTCTCTTCCAAAGGTTACAAGATGTGTGGCTTTTCGCTGGAGGCAGTCATAACCAGTATAAACTTGTGACCGGACTCCTACTTATAATTTTATTGAGTTTTTTTCCTAATCTCTGGCTGATTTCCTATCCTATCCTCCACAAAGACTCTTTCGAGCTTTCCATGTTATTAAAGATGCCAGTCCCAGTCCATACTGATAGGTAAATTCATCCAGTTTCCTGGGCTCAAAGCTATGGGACTCCAATTCCGGTTTGACGTTCCCTCCATTGTAAAGTATGTGTGACCACCTCCTGCTCATGATTTCAAAACTAACCAAATTAACCCAGAACCCTTTTCCTTCTCTACAGAGCCCATCCCTCTGCCTGAAACTATGTATGTCATCCCTTTCCATCTCCTCCTCCCACCACTACTTTCCTAAGTACTGTATCTTATATCGTAAATACCTTCTTATCCACTGGCTTCTTCCTTTCAACTTCTCAGGAGTTTCTGTTGCCTTGGCTGGGTGCGGTGGCTCACACCTGTAATCCCAGCACTTTGGGAAGCCAAGGCCAGAGGATCACGAGGTCAACAGAACGACACCATCCTGGCCAACATGGTGAAACCCCGTCTCTACTAAAAATACAAAAATTAGCCAGGCCTGGTGGTGTGCTCCTGTAATCCCAGCTTCAAGAGGCTGAGGCAGGAGAATCGCTTGACCCCAGGAGGTGGAGGTGGCGGTGAGCTGAGATCACTTGACCACTCCACGCTGGGCGACAACAGTGAGACTCTTGTCTTAAAAAAAAAAAAAAAAAGTTTCTGTTGTCTTTTCTTATTCAGTACTGTTACTCCTTCCAGTTGCTATACTATCAACCTTCCTTTCATTGTCACATTTCTCAAAAGAAACAGTTACAGTTTTCACCAATCCCTCTCCCTTCCTTGAAACCCTTTTTGCCTTTCTAAGATGCTTCCCTGAATCTACACCTACCTAGTTTGCTGGTCTTCCGATTTCTTTGCTAGCACCTCCTCTTTCTTCAATCTGTTCTCTACTACATGCCTTCTCTTAGGTTTCCCAAAATTAGTCTGTTCCTGATTTTTCCTTAACTGAGGTTCCTCGTGTTCAGCTACTTGCCAGAAAGCTGCAGCTCAAAACTCAACACTTAAAATAATTCCTCTCTCTTACTTGAATTTCCTAATATATCTTAACATTGTAATTTTGGCATAGTGTAGTGATTAAGAACATGAACTGTGAAACCAGACTGCTCTGGAAAGCTATGTAACCTTAGGCAAATCTCTTTGTGTTTCAGTTTCCTCAACTGCAAAATGGAAATAACAACAGTACCAATCTCATAGGGTTGTTATGAGTATTAAACTATTTAATATTTATATATTATAGAAATGCCATCAGCATTATTACATTTGTTGTTTCTGATCTTCCCAAGAGGTTTCTTTTTTTTTTAATTTAAGACTGGCTCCACTGAGGATTTGAACCAGCAACCTTGCAGTTGCAGTCTCTATACCTTAACTACTGTGCTAACAGGCCACTTGTTTCTGATCTTGCTAAGAACTTTTTAGCATTTTTTTAAGTCTGAGGGCATGGGTAATCAACTTTCTAAGTTTATAGAAATCTAAAATTTTATTTTGCCCTCACACTTAATAATTGAGCTAGTGTTTATAAATAATTACACCATAAATTA